TGCCGAAACTCTGCCGAAACTATAATAAATCTATAGTAAAATTTTGACAAAACTAATCGTAGGATTTTGAAGAGGTTTAGACAAGCAACCTTAATTATTATATATATAATATACAAAAATTTTCTGGATTATACCAGATTTCCAATTATATTAACTATAATGAAAACCTGATCAGCCCAGATGTCCACTTCGTTATATTAAAAATTAATTATATAAGAAGACTTTAAAATTTCTTTGAAAAATATTAATTAGTAAAATTTTATATATAAAGTAAGGTTGTGGGCGAAACTCTATAGTAAACGTGAAACTTGACAAAATTATATTAAAATATTAATAAAAATTTGGTGAAACTTGATTATAAAAATCATATGAAATGACAAAACTATAATAAACTCTTATAAAAAAATTGACGAAACTGAGGTTTAGACATTTTGCTAAATTCAAAAACCAGTTTAGCCTGCAACCTTAATATAAGGTATAACAATTAGTAATGAAATATTGTAAAATAAAAAAGTTATAAAATATGAATTTTAAAATTAAAGATTAGACAATCTAGATAAAATTGATTTTAAAAAAAGTATTATATATTTTAAAAAATAGATGTTAGATTGAAAGTAGTAATTTAATAGTATAATTTACTAAAAGTTATCTTTCATTTAGAATTTATTTGATTTAATAAAAAATATTATAAATCAATAAAAAATTCTTTTTATTTATAATTTTACTTATACTTTTTATATATTATATTAAAATCATTTATAATAATTGTATAGTAATTATAATTTCTGGTAAATTCTAAAAAGGTGAAATATATTGATATATACTTTCTATTTTAATTATGAATAGTAAATATAAAGATAAATTTGTATAATCCTTAAAATCTATTTTATATAGTCACAATCTATTTATAATTACTATCACATTTATTAAAAAACTTATATTAAAAAGAATTATTTATAGTTATAGTTATATAAAGAATACATTAAATTATTTGGTATCTAATAATTGTAAAAGATGTATCACAACTTATTAGAATCATCTTACTAAGATGAATTAAATAGTAGTAGTTTTATTTTTTTACAGTTATAGGCTAAGTTATTTAACAAAATATAAAAAATTGGCATTATGATAGATTATGATATTTTTTGATTTATATTTACTGCATCATTTAACATTTTACTAAATTGTTTAATACCTAATAATTATAAAAAATTAATTAATAAGTAATAACTTGTTAAAATTATCTCATTATAACAAATTAAATGATAGTAAATTTATTTTTTTATAGTCAATATTAACAGAGTTATTACTTAAAAATTATTTAATATTTTTAATTTTAAAAATTGATCTAGTAATTAGATTTTAATGAATTTTTATATCATTAAATTCATCTCATTGAAATAAATTAAATGGTAGTAAGATTATTACTCTACAATTAATATTAGTATAATTACTACCTAAAAACTATTTAATATTTTAATTTTAAAAATTGATCTAGTTATTGGATTTTAATGTATTTTATATTATTAGAATTATTTCATTAAGATGAATAAAATAGTAATAAAATTTTCTTTTTATAATTAATATTAATGGAATTATAATATAATAAAGTTTTTAAGTATAATTTTAGTTAATTTTTAGCTATATATAAAAAATTTTTTATGTAATCATATTTCTTTATAATCATTTAATATAAACTGTTCTAAATGTATAATTATAAAGAGAATTGTTTTATTTTAAAATTAACATAAGTTATTTTGGTATTAAGATTTTTTTTAATTATATCTATATAAAAATATAACAGTTTTTGTATTAATTTTTATTTAAATTTTTTATATTGTATTAAACAAAATTTCTGATAAAGTTTATTTAGTTGTAATTTTTTTGGATTATATGATTGATATCTTTTTAGATATATTTTAATAAAGTGATTGGATGATTTATAAATAAAGTAAATTTTATTTATTTGATAGCATTATAACACTAATATAATTGTGAGTTTTGATATAAATAAAATTTTCTTATAAGACAAAATTAATAAAGATGAAAATAAACCAAATTTTAGTATTAATAAATTTAAAAAATCAAAAAGATTTTTTGTAAAATAATAAAATAATTGCAAGATATTTCTGCTGATTTTTCTTTATATGTATATATTCTTTTTTTATTACATTAATTAATTTTTGTTTAGATCTAATTAGAGGTTTTCTTTTTTGAATCTGACAATCCAAATGATCTCACAGATTCTTAATTAAATTTGGATCTGAATTTTACAACACAATTGAAAGAAAATAAATATAATATTTTTTGTTAAAATTTTTAAAATATTTTTTTGTTAATTAAAATTTAAGTTATTTATATTATATAAATATATTATTATTACATTTATTTTAATTTGATACTATACTTTCAATTGTGCCTTTAGTAATATTTGATATTTCAGAAACTTATTATAAGTTTAAAATAGCTTTTTTCTATAGAATTAGGTTTAAAAAGATAATTATGTATATTTTTTTATTAGTAATATATTATTATAGTAATATAGTATAATAAATAAATATTATATTATAATAAATATATAAATTTTAATTATTTTAGTGAGGTACTTTTTCTAAAAGTTTTTTAAGTAAAAAAAAACTTTACCTTACTTTTTGTTAAAGAAATAAATTTGTAAATCTTTTATTTATAAATAAAGTAAATAGATGGATAAGAAAATAATGGAAATTTTTTTTAAATTTTCAAAAAATATAATGCTTTTATTTTCTGATTTGTAAATAACTAAAAGTTAAAGATTAATTTATAATTTAAAAAAAATCAAAGATTTGATATTATATATAATAAGTATAAATTATATACATATATACTTTTTTAGTATATTTATTAGAATTTGTAATAAAAATTGCTTGTTGTAAAAAATTTATGGAAATGCAAAACTATTACACTTAATATAAACTTACGCTAGGATTTTATATATACTGTATTATCAATTTTTTATATTTTAAAGCTTATACGGGGTAATACACCTACAATCTTGATAAAAAAATCAAATAATGTTTAGTGAATTATGTATAACATAATTAGATTAACAATTACAAATGTGATTTAGAAACATACCTTAATTTATTAATTAAATAAAGGGCAAATCAACACAATTTAAAATTCTAAGATAAATGGGTCGCACAAGTTAATTTTACTTGGATCTAGTTTTTTTATTGACCAATAGCCAATTTTCAGGGTGAGCCAATGTATTTTGGATCAACATCCATTTCATCTGCAGAAGATTGTTGTTGCTCATCCTCCTCCTCATCTTTCTCATCTACTTCGTCTTCATCATCCTCATCATCCTCATCACTTTCATCATCATCATCATCATTATCTTCTTTTTCATCTACTTCATCATCATCATCACCTTCCTCGTCACTTTCATCCTCATCATCATCTTCTTCCTCATCTTTACTTTCCGATATAGTACGACCACTCGTAGCTAACCTATGAGCTTCTTTTTCGGCTTTCTTTCTCTCAACATTTTTTTCTTGTTCTTTTCGTCTTAAAGCAGTTTCTTGCTTCTTTTTTTGTCTTTCGCGCTCAATACTTTTTATTTCTGCGGGTGTTTTCTTAACTAAAAAATATGTAAAAAAATTAAATAGAAAGAAAAAAAAAAAAAAATTTATTAAATAACAAAATTTCAATTATTTAATTACTTACTGAATTCATGAAATAAAATTTCTCCATCACATAAACCACTTTGAATTTTAACTAATTGTAATTCCATTCTTGGACCAATTTCAGTTAATTTAATAGCACGTTGATCAGACTTTTTGTTGATTTTACCAACAAAATCTTGTGCCAACGTTACTGTAGCTTCAACTCCACTTTCAGCTTCACTTTCTGATATATGACCTTCTCTAAAAAAAAAATCATTTTAATTATTATTTTTTTTTTTAAAAAAAAAAAGTAATATTATTTAATTACCTTAATACAAATTCACTAATATCACGATATTCATGTAAATCTGGTACATTAGAATTTATTACTTTTCGTACACTTTTACTAATTCCTATTGGTTTTACTCCTATACTATAATGTCTAAAATCTATTATTTTCGTATCAGGATTATAGTTAAATAATACAACTCTACGAGCATCTGATAATTGAATCTTATTTTATAGTAAGAATCAAAAAAAGGTAAATTTTAATATAAATTTGTAAAGTTAAGATTTAACTTTAAATAAATTACCTTGTTAACATTTATAGAAGGAAACATGGATTGAAACATAGTTATCATTAATTTCAAATGATTTTCATCACCATCAAAATTATTTAATACAAGCTAAAAACAAAGAAAGAAAATAAAATTATTAAAACTATAAAGAAAAATAGTTAACAATAATAAAATTTTTTTACCAATGGAGGAGTATGAAATTCGGAAATAAAACTTTTTGGATCAATTTGAGAAGCTAAAACATCTCTAATTAAAGAATATTTTAACACTCTAAAACATAAAGTTGGACCTCTTGGAGTTCTCGTTAATCTAAAATTAGTTCCATTATCCGTTCGTGTAAATATTAAAAATTGAGTTACACCAAATTGACCTGCTATGGCTACAAAATCTTTTAATCGATTTGATTTTCTTTCCTTATAAATAATATGATTTAAATAAATTAGGAAATGTAAGAAAAATGTAGAAAATATAAAAAATTTTTTTTAATACTTTTAATTTTGTTGCAGTATGAGGTTCCATAACTCTTCTCATGTCTCTAACTAAAGCTTCAACAGATTTTCCTACATGACCAGATTTGAATACAAAACTTTTTGGTAATTTTGGAGAGTCAGGACTATTTGTGACAGTTTCATCAACCTTAACATGAGTTCTTCTCTTTTTCTAATAAAATGAATAATAAGATAAATAAAAATAATTTCATTAAAAAAAAAAGTAGATATTATACAAAAATGATATAATACTCTCGCCATTTTTAGGTAAAAAAGAGAGAAAAAAAAAAAAAAAATTTCAGATAATCTTAAATCAGCGCAGTAAAACGTTCATTGTAAATAATTAAATGATTTTAAAAAAGGAATTGAATTATTGAATTATATATGACGATATGACGATCATTATAAATTGAACGTGTAACGACTGTAACGTGTACCGATTAACAATGAACTGGACCTTTGCGAATACAATTTACAATATTTTATATAAATTGGGAAATTCAAAAAAAAAAAAAAATAAAATAAAATAAAATATTTTATTGATAGAAATTTCTTAATTTTCTTTTTTTTTAAAAAAAAAGAAAAAAGAAAAAACCTTTACTTTCTTTTTAATATAATTCGTAAAGAAGATGAAATGTGTTTTATAGGTAAAAACAATGATTTGGATATGTTTAACGATATGGAAGAAAAATGTCCAACACTTCGTATATTTTTAAGAAAAGATAAAATTATCAAGCCAATTGGACTTATTTGTCGTAAAGGAATACAAAATATAAAAAATGGGGATTCAACATTTCATTTCTCATTTATTCATCCTGACTATGGTATTATTAAAGTAACAAAAGATGTTTTATCAACCAAATCAAAATTTGCTCAAGAGATTAAATTATTATCAGATATGTTTTATAGTGATATAGAAATTTCTCAACCAAAATTTCCGATTAATTTTCAAATAAATTTTGAAATTTTAATTTTTGATAATTTATATTATTTAGAATCATTAAATAATTATATAAAAGATCAATTTAATCAATCTCATTAATTATATTATGTATATATATATATATCAGATATATGTAAATTTATGTAAAAAATTTTTTATTTTATTTTATTTTATTTTATTATTTTTATGTAATTTATTATTATATAGTAACTATATTATTATTATTGTATATTTCATATCCGTTAAACGGTTTTTACCGATTTGGTAAAAACATTTTATCAACATTTAACTCTGAAACAAAGGATTGTTCAAAATTTTTCTTTACGTAAATAGATTTATTACTTACTGGAATAGTTAATTTTTAAATAAATGAAAATTTTATAATTAAACCAATGGATTTTGCCACGTTCAAAATTGGTTAATTCGAGAAAGTTGATTATTATTAAGTTTCAGTACTACGAATTTTTTTTCACGAACATTCCGAATTTTACTTACATAATAAGAAAACTTTAGAACGCCAAAATCAATAAAGAACGAATATTTCTTGCAGGAAAAGTGAACCTTAACTTTAACAATAAAAAGGAAGATTCCGAATTTTTCTGTAGTGGGAAAACACGGGAAACTTCGGAACTTTATAATGAAATCAAGTTAAAATATAGAAACTGTCGAATTAAAATTATTCCCACCCCACGAATAAATTATAAACTGGGGATATTGTAATTTATTGTACAATGAATTATGTAATATCAATTTTTTTTTTTTTTTATTATAATAAAGTACAGTACATAACATACATACATTGCCGATAAATGACATACGCGATTTACGTACATATCGTTATTTTTTTTTTTTTCATATCGGTAAAACCATATAAAGTAGATATGGTTACAATAGAAATATTGTCAATGAAATATTTATGATTTACCGATTTAAGTGGTATGCATCAATTAAAGTCATGCGATCCTCAACTGGCGTAAAAGTGATAGAGGGGAATTACAATTTTTAAAGATAAGGCGTACAGCAAACTGACAAGAATTGCAGAAATTTCGAATTAAATAAAGTTTTAATTAAATTATTTGAGGAATTAAACCGCCCTTGGTTAAGGGACCATCATCCTTTTATATAATTATAATATTGTATGAAATCTTAACTTTATTATTAACTGAACCTAAAAAAGATAAGATTGATATTTTTTGAATTAATTAGATAATGAATAACAAACAACAATAAATTCGGAGAATTATCTTATATTTTTTCAAATCTCTGTAAACCTCTCACAATTCGTCGTTTGACACACAATGAGATGTGAAGTTATTGCATTAGAGAATCAAAACAAATAAAAAGAGTAGTTCTAATTTTTAATAATTACAATATATCATTATTATAATTGCTAAATTTCGGCAAATAAGGATTTCTCCAAAAAAAAAAAAAAAAAAAAAAAAAAAATTTTTTCTTCCAATCAAATAAGAGACCTGCATTAAATGTGAGCATATATAATAAATTAACGCGTAGAAAAAAAAAACAAAACTTGTCAGATTTAAATTTTTATCGCATTATTTGTATTACGAGTTAATATAATCGTATTAAAGTTTTTATTTATAATCGCCGTTTTTATTATGATATTGTAGCACAATTAATTATATATTTTTTTATTTGGAACTCATTTTGTTTTAAAAGAAAGTGGTAATTGGGATTTTTCTTTTTTTTTTGGGTCAAATAAAGAAGCTTTTGATCTCATTTTTTTATCAAATTCATATGGAATCATGACTACACTCATTTAGTTTAATAGTAATAATAGTCTGGAACTATTATTAAATTTTTTTTTTTTTCGCTTTCGACATTTTAATCAAATCGCGTGATTTCCATTGAATTTTCGTATTATTCATTCCCTTTAACCCATTAAAAGTCCGCATCATGAAATCCTCTTACATCTTATATATCCGCATACGTATTTTTAATGTATATAAATGAATTAAAAAAAAAGGTTATCTTTTTCCGTGAAAATTTATTTTAAAGTTAGGTTTTAGATATTATAATACTATTCTGTTCCCTTTATTTTATTTATATTACCTTCGATCAAAATTCTCTTTTAAGGAAAAGAAAAGATTTATATGTGGTGTTGCTATTATTTTGTTCCTTCGTAATTCAAAATACTTTTTTTCTTTTTTCTTTAAAGCGAATTTCTTTTTTCGATCATGATTGTTTATTCGCAAACCTTGCGGTTATTGCTTCTCTTTTCTTATTTTTCTTTTTTTTTTTCCCATTTTTTTTTATCCGATGATGTTCGCACGTAAAAAACTTCAAAAAAAAAAATAGACTTTTTTTTCGTATTGTTCACATATATATATATACAGCTGTATAACCGAAGATAAATCATGATTTATTATTAGAATTCGTTTCGTTTTACAAAGAAAGAGTTAGAAAAAAAAAAGAACTTATTTTTTCTAGAATTGGTCCTTTTTTTTTATGTATTTTTAGTATGTAATTTTTTTTTTTCGTTAAACCACCATCTAAGATTATTATTATATTATGATGTTACTTTTCTTATATATATGCCCGATCGGATCAACAATCATAAACAAAAAAAATGTATCGAGTTTTGGAAAATTTTATTCCTTTTTATTATTATTATTATTATTATTAATTCTTTTAATTCATAATTAATAATATTTTGTAAAAAACGGTATGTTAATTTATCATTTTCACGTGATTTGTGTTTTTTTTTTCTAATTCATGTAATTCATTAATTCATTTGATAATTATCGGAAAATTTTCTTCCCTAGTACTACGTAGATCCGATTTACAAATCTTAGATCTACGAGAGAAACCTGGAACCTGGATCTTGATTTCTTAAAGACTGGAAATACAAACCACACTTTAGATTGTCGGTTTTAGTTTTAGCGCAGTAATATAATAAAAGAAATTATATATATATTCATTTAATTAACATTTGCATTTTCAACTATTTACTAACCTTGAATGTCCAATTTCAGCTCCGGTCTATTATAATACTTGTTATTCCATGGATATCAATGAATAACTAAAATATTCACCCATGTCCTGCTTCCCTCGAAGGGAGGGGAGCTTCGGTGTATATGTAGTTTATTAGATATTCATGGAATAACAAGCTATAATTCTGGCTATCTTTGCCCGTATACATCGATGGATTTTGTAGATTATACCGGTGGAGTAATTCCATCGATGTATACATAATACCGATGGGTTAAAATTTAGCGAGAACAAATATTATCTCATGATGTGATATTACCTAGTGTTTCGTCAGTTATTTATTCCGTTATAATCGTCATATCTGATATAATTTTATACAAGTTAACTAAAAGAACTAACTTTACTTTTTTGATGAATATAGAAATTTATCAGGAAAATTTTGTGTAGCTACAGTAACAAGCCACTGTTGTAGATACTATTAAGTACCGTAATAATATTACTGATATACCGGGAGTCAAAAAAAATTTTATATTTTATTTGTATTGGTATAAACCTATAATAAATGTCGTATAGGCACTGTTTAATATTTGATTTAAAAATTACCTAGTACCTCACGGTTACTGCACAATACTACAAGGATTTAATAATGATACTGCTGTTTGTACCGAAACTTTTGTTAATACCGAACCGGAATAATTTCATTGGATATAACAAACTTTTATATAATAAAACACTATATAACGCATCCCGAACCGAACTTAACCAGCCCATATATATCAGTTATATAATAGCATTCATGTGACTATATAGTAATCCAGGCCAAATTTATAGTGCTGGCCAGAATCCTACCTGTTTTTTTTTATACATTTATTTTAGCAAATGTACGAGTTTACGAAGTACATTTGTAAATCAATGAGTAACGTAGGGACAAATAAATATAATAAAAGCCAATAACCATGAATCTTTTAATTCTTATATATATGTATTTTATATATAATTTTTTATTTTAATAAGAAATAATAATCAATTCTTATATTATATAACTGAATTTATTAGTTATTAATAAAAAAATTTAATTAATTGATTTATTATAATAAAAATATTTGATTGATTAATACATATATGTTAAAAAGTAATTCATAAAGCAATTAATTTTACTTTTATAGGGAATTATAAAAAATTAAATATAAAATATTTCTAAGAAAAACATCCTATTAGATCTGCAAATATTTCCAATAAATATATATTAAAAGTTATTATATTTTATTAATTTATTTATAAAAGTTTACAATTTTTTATAAATTATTTATATTTTAAATTTTACAGTAAGGTTTTTATATAATTATCTAGCATTTACTTATTTTTATTATTTTATATATTATTTTTAGAATATTATTAAAGTTAATTTTTTTTTTTTACTGCAGCATATTTAATACTTTATTAATTCAATTAATATATAATA